TCTCTCTTCTTCGTGATCGGCCAATATTCTTCTTTTTGACGTTGCAATTCCGCCTCCCTCCCACTTCAAAAGGGAAGGGGATTTGTATGATTGGGAAGTCTTATTCCAGGAATTGAACAAGAGAGCATTTTGGGTGATGACGAATCGACCAAAGCTTGATCCAACGGCTGAATGATGTCTGACAGAACCAGTGCAGAGTGTGCAAACTCACGTTCTCGCATCGTGCGTGACCAAGAATGGGATTCCACCGCGGCCAAGCTGAACGCGCTTGACCTTGCCGAGCTTGTACTCGGCCTCCTCGGCCTGGATGCGGTGGACGGTGAAGCGGCCCTTGGTGTCGTAGATGAGACGGAAGTTCTCGCCAGTCTTGTCGATGGTGATGACGTCCATGAAGCCGGCGGGGTAGGTCATGTCGGTGCGGACCTTGCCGTCGACCTTGATGAGGCGCTGCATGAGGATGGAGCGGGTCTCGCGGAAGTTGAGGGCGTACTTGAGGCGGTTGCGGAGGAAGACAATCAGCGGCAAGCAGTCGCGAAGCTTGTGAGGACCGGCCGATGGGCGGGGAGCGTAGGTTCCGGACAGCTTGTCCAGGAGCCAGTGCGAAGGCGCGCTAAGGCGCTTCTGGTGCTTCTTGCTGTGAGGGCATTGTCAGAATATTTGTTCGTATCGAGGGAATGCCCGACCATGTTCTCGAATATTGTCGTCGGAAATTTTCTTCAATTCGTCGCGGCGGGCAAGTCAAACTCGCTCGAGCAACGAAACAAAATTCCGAATCGCATCGACAACGACAATGAATTGAATATGAAGATTGGTTATCAAGCACTTACAGTCCCTTGCCCATTTTGTCTGACTGCCGATTAGTCTATGGGGGTATCTGGTCGGTGGGTGTGAAGGTCGAAGTCGAGATACTCAGATTCAACTCGGGACGTGGAGTACAGAGGGATCGGGCTGGAAATTTTCTGTGAGGCGTAGGTTTTTCGAACCCTACACTTGTGTCTCTGGGCGGTCAAAAGGAGGGGCGGGGCTTCAATAATCCGGCGACAGTCAGTCAGTGGTCGAATGGATTAAGCGAGATGGTCAGTGTGTATGCTCCCCACTTGGGCTTTCCTGCTCCATTGATTCGGCGGTGGGTGGGTCCCGTCCACGGCCGGCGCATGGGAACACGGGCTTGAAGATGACCGCGGCCCCACCAAAGGCACAATAACAGAATCTGAGCTATCTCTTCTTCGGGACCACTCGAATTCCACCATTCATCGGGACGTGAAGGATTCCAGGCTCATAGTTTGCACCGGTCGTGTACACTATATTCAATACAATCATCTAGCGATTGGTGCTTTCTAGCTCACAGTGCCCGGATCTCGACACTCTATCCAGATAGCCTGTCCGGAACACTAACTCGTTCTTGCGCAGAAACGACCGTAGTCCATCTAATTCACTCCCAAACCCCTTTTGTCCGCCCTTGGCCAAAGATATCTGATCATGCGCCGTATCTCCAAAATGTGATTACGGAAAACCAGTTGGTATAAGTTTATGTCCAGAAACGACCGTTTGGGTAGCGAAGCGCCCCATTTCTCCATGTACGCCACGTAAGCAAACAATACGCAGCACTTTTGATTCTAATGTTCAATACAAAATCCTGCACACGCGGCAATAGGTTGAAACCTAGCAGATGTGCTAGACCGTTGTCAAAAAACGCAGCACGATAGAGATCCAGCTGTCGAAGGGCTGTTGAGATTTCAACACCCAGTGATACGTTATGGTGACGTCGATTCAGACGTCTGATCGGGTGCGTATATCGCAGTCGAGCTGGCGACCTGTGAGTCGTCCAGCAGTAGGCGGGAGATATCCATCTCTCCCGCACTTCCCATGAATGTCGCCGTGGTGGCTTCGCCAAAGTCGAAGGCCTGCTGACTGGGAGGCAGCTCTCCATTGTCAATGACAGACAGAGGCCACCTAGGGAGGTCCTCCTTGGAGTTGGTTCGATTCAACGCCGCCTCCATGGGAGGTGGCCTGTTGGGCTGCAGAGTATTCGAAATGCTCATGCTAACCGTTGGTTCAAGGGTATCGCCTCCTCGCCCGTCCTGGGGTTGGAATAATCCCTTTTCAATCTTGGCATAAACGCTGGGGTACTTGTTCCGAACCCTGTCTCTGAGGTCTGTCGGTTGTCGTCCAGACAGACTAAAGCGTGGATCTCTCTGGATTTTGGTCCACGCTGGTCCATACTTATCCAGCCCTTCGAGTATTTGTTTGTCGTCTTGGTCGGTAAAAGGTCGTCTTTCTCTTCTGTGAGACTTCTTGAATGGACCGTGTATTCCTAGCTCCGCTAAATCCTCCAGCTTCTTGCGGTGCGCCCTGCTCCTCTTCATTTTGGGAAAGGCGTCCAAATCAGCCTGTGTCATCTGGGACTGTTCGCTCGCTGCAGCCTCATCTTGGGCTATGAGTATGTTTTCGGACAGCAATCCTGTTTTCGCTTTGGCCTTTGGTTCGGTTGGGGTCGTTGGCGGCGCGGCAGCAGCAGATGTAATCTTCGGTTCGCTATTAGTCCTGCGCAACTCATTCGGGCAGCAGGTGCGAAACCGGTCCTTCAAGTCACCCGCAGTCCGATCATTGAAGTTGAAGTCGGGGTCTGCAAGGATATCGGTCCATTTTCCAACGCCGTGACGATTGACACCCAGCAGTAGGTGGTTCGTCTCAGCTTCAGACCACTTCCGCCTTGGCTTCATCGCCTTCTTCCTTGTTTTGCCACCACTAGATTTCGAGTTTTTGGATGTTGTCGAGTCAGCCTCAGCGGGCTTTTCAACCTCAATTTCCATATCCTTCTCCTCGGGCACAGGCGCGAAATCTCGAAGCGGCTTTAGCTGGTTGCTTTCGGGCTCGTTGAAGTCGTTGGAGGCAATGGGCGGGAACAGCGCGGCGTCGGGAGGAGGTTCGTGTAAGCCATTGATAATGGGCGGCATAGTGGGCATGACCTGGGGTTGAATTGGCTTTTGTTTCTTGACCGGCTGTGGTAGCTGCACGAAATCGTCCTTTGTGGCAACGTTGCGGTGCCTCTTCTTGTTTGCGGAATCATCTTTATTTTCGGGTACCTCATCGAGGATCTTGCTAAGAGAAAAAGAGGAGTCTGCATTATCTCGGTCCTCGCCCAAGAGCAGTCTCAATTGTAGGTGCGCGGTGCTGTTGACTGCCCCCCGATCGACTGGTGCTTCGTCATCCTTTCGTGAATCTCGTGCGGAGAAGCTGTCGTCGAGGGTGCCGGCATTCTGTGGTGGGGCTCCGTGGGTGGTGGCGAGCGAGGGCCCTTTGGTGTTTTCCTCGCGATGGGTGGTCTCAGGCTCGAGTGGGAAGGGCCTCTCAGAAGGACGAGAGAAGGCTAGACGGAGGGGCGGCAGATCAGCGTGAGCGAGCTGTGGCGTGGTGGAATCGTTCAGCAGGTGGATGAGGCGTGGCTCGATGTAGGCCATCGTGGGCTAGGAAAGTCGGAGTGGGCATTTGGTTTAAAATTTGAGGTAGAAAACAACACAGACGAAGAGAAGGGGAGTGAAGGGGAGAGGCGAAGGAAAGAAGGAGAGACAATGGACGCGGGATGGATGGGTGTGAGGTCGGCGGCGTGCGGGACAGGATGGTGAGGAGAAGAGGAGGAGGAGGAGAAGAATAAGAAGACAAGACTTGGACTCGAGTCTTCAACGAGTTTGCTCAGGTAGCAAAGACTGGCAGTGACTGAGGTGACCGAAAGGCGGAGGGGAGCATTACCTTAGGTTAGGAATGGAAGGCGGGAGGTAAGGTAGGTAAGGGTATCAGTAAAGTAAAGCGTGAAGCAGCTAAGGATTGGCTTGCAGCATTTCAGGGCCCGGTCTGACAGGCAGACGGGCTCACTACAGGCACCGTGGCTGCAGGGCTCCTCCTAGAAGATTTGCCCAACGATGGAAGTTCCACGTGAAGATTCTCCACCGTAGAAGCGGCAAATGAGACTAGCGCGGTTGGGTTTGCGGTATTTGCTGATACCATTCAGCGGCGGCGGCGGGTGTGCCAAGTAACTTTAATACTTTGTGATTATCATTGGCTGCTGCCCAGCGAAGCCCGTTCCTTCGTCTCCGTGTCGGCACGCAGCTTTCTCTGTCAGTCCGGCCTTTTTGCCTCACTCTTCAATTTCTACATAAGTCAAGAAGGTCGGGTATCTTATAGGTGATGGGAGATACCTCGATGCCCCAAGACCAGGCAAACAGCAGGTAGAGTCGCCCTATAGAGGTACCAAGAATGAAAGAATTGATGGCTGCCCAACTTCAGCAAGAGAAATCTGCCACCAGGCAATGGATTGATTAACCTTGGCAGACATTGACAAGACTGGCAAGGCACTGACTGGATGGCTCACCGTGCACACCTCTCGTCCCACCTTAGGTTCACTGGATGATGGATCTCCCTTTCCCTGAGCCTGAATTGGGTCCTGCCAGCCTGCATAACCTGCGTAGCTTCAACCCAACTCGGTGCGAAGCCGGCAACCTTGGAGGCATCTTCCATAGCACCCACCACTGGCACCTGTGCTACAGCTTTCCATGGTCTGGTTGCTTACTATTATCCCGTGCGGCATCCGTCCGGACAGTGTACCTTACCTCATGTACCCAAGACATGTCTCTCGCTCCAGTTTACAGCTGTCCGTGGTCTCCGCCTCCGCCTCCGCCTCTCCGAATTCTCGCATGACACACCACAGTGACCACAAATCCTCCACCGAGCTGAAAGAACGTCTCACAGCTTCTCGGTCTGATCAATTGCGTTGCCTGTTGCCCCTCCCTTATCCTTATTCGCCTTCTTCCGACCCATTCTGGCCTCAAGTTCTACCTGCTCTGCCTGCCTGTCAACCGCTCCTCCGTCTTTGAGAAACCACCTGTCCCTACAATAGAACATCAGCAAGGGTTCGGTGACCACCTTTGTTGTTGCACAGCTTTCAATCCCCCTCCATCCCACTTCTCACTAGCTGACCGGTAGCAACGGCCCCTAATCTCACCATGGCGGCGGCTGCGGCTCTTCCGACCTTCCCCAGACTGGTCTTCACCGTCTTCGAGCCCATCTCACTGTACGTTCACACACTCTCGCCACCATGACAATTCCCACCCGCCACTGAACTGATTCGTCTTGTCTCAAAAAAAAAAAGCGTCGGCGGTTTCCTAGGCGCCGTTATCAACCCGGATTGGTTCATATCCGAGCAGATCGTGCAGGGCGCCATCTCGGCCGCCGTGCCAGCTCCGGAATCTGATAATGCCCGTCTCGTGGCCCTCCAGCTCGGAAACATCTACCTGCTCATGGCCATGGTTGGGCTAGCCGTGCTCAACCTCACCAACGAGCTGAAAGTCGTGCGCGGCTACCTCGTTGCTCTTTGGATAGCCGACCTTGGTCACATTTACGTATGCTACCACGTTATGGGCCTCGACCGCTTCCTCGACGTGGCGAGCTGGAACTCCATGGCCTGGGGTAACGTGGGAGTCACGGTGCGACCAATCTTCTCGTTCGGGCCATGATGCTGTGCTAACTGTTCTAGGCCCTTCTCTGCCTGACCAGGACGGCTTACCTTTTAGGCCTCTTCGGAAAGGATGCTCCTCTCAAGAACTTGGAAAAGAAGCAGCAATGATAGGATCTGAAAACAGGCCTCTCTCCAAACAGGTTGGGCCTCTGTAATATCCGAGGCTCCTGACTCGAGTCTGTTTGAACAATCCATACTGCCTTCATACGTAAATAGTGCTTTTCCGTTTCCTGCCCATTTAGTCCCAGTAGAACTTTCGCAACTAATGAGATTGATTCAATTGGGAGAAATGCAAAGAGTCCTCTCAATCACTGTGCTTCTGTGCTTGCCTGTAGTCGAATGGCAGAGCCCACTTATACGGCCGTTCGTCGCTACATAAGCTCCTAGCCACACCCAAGGGGTCCAAAACTCCCAGCACCGGTGCCCTCACGATCATACTATTATAACACGAGATTAAAAAATAATACATGGGAGAAGATTTACCTGTCATGAGCTTCATCAAAGTATAGTAAGGTGAGACAGACCGGTTGGTAGCTCAGCTAAAGAGTTGGCATAGGCAGCATGAGATGCGCAGCTTCTAATGCCTGAATAGGCATGCGCAACTGGAGCCAATTTGTCACTGCCACAAATAAATGAGCGAATAACGCCAATAAAAGGGTTCGTCAAACGCCGATTGATAGGCTCAGAATTCCCGCAGTGAGACCGACGGTTGACGCTAAAGGCTTGCGCTTCGTGATGAAACTGCAGTTCTTTCATCTTGTACCCTACCTAGATCATGCCTAGAGTGGTGACATGAGCCAGTGGAAACCCCGCGGAACCTTCTTTCAAGGAATCTATCTGAAAGGTCTACCAGATAAGGTAATAAAGATCCACGGCGCAGCTCGTCTTTCCTCAATTAAACCAATAAACAGACATGTATGTTGGAGAGGGGGTGCTTAAACCTTCTTGTTTCCATTAAAGAGGCGACGCGGTTGCTCGCGCATGGACACCTAAGGCAGCCAGCGCACAGTGTGAACGCGTTAAGCCCCACGCCTCGATCAACATATACCAATCCGATCATCGTCGGGGTTAGGGTTAGAGAATCCGGTTAGTAAGAAACTCAACATCCCTACCCAACCCCAACAAAGTACGCGCCTTTGCAGCCATCCTAGTCATTCCAGGAACAACAGAACGAGTCAAATAGCATGGCTCGCACGAGAACGGGCCGCGGCGCTCCGGAGTCTCCGGAGCATAATGTTCAAGACGCTCGTTCTGCGCGGTTGACACGACGTCGAGCAGGCGGCGCAAACATGACGGAACGCATCGAAACCACCGACAGAACAACCGCTTCTGCGACTGCTTCTGCTGCATCTCGGTCAACGACGCGAGGTAGGGGAAGAGATAAGGTCGCCCCGACGAGCACCACGTTGCGAGAGATGGCGGAAGAACGGGAAGAAAGGGAGGAAGACGTGGAGAAGAGGGAAGAGAAAGATCTGTACAGAAACGAACCGGTCGCGCGTTTCAATGCGAAGGAGATTGTGCGAGACATCAACCCCCAAGATAACGACAGTGGTGAGTCCTGCTCATCTGTGTTCGCAATGGGCCATCTGAAGTCCAAAGTTGACAACCGCCCTAGAAATGGGGTCGCAGAGCATCTCCGGCACACAGAGATATGCGACCCCGGCCTACATGACTGCTGCGTACACGTTATTCTCAAGTCTGTCAACACTGCGCTCTCTCCCTTGCAAGAACGCGATTTGCTAACCCCCCAACAGAAGCACCAGGCTCATCAGCACCGAGAGCTTCACAAGGTGCGAACCGCGTCTTGCTCGTTGGGATGGCCATCTGCTGACATAGAGACATAAAAGGCCGCGTACAGCTACCGGGAATAGAGGACGACGGGAGCGATGACGAGTCAGAGAAGTCCGAAGGCGAAGACGACGCATCTCAGGACCTCATCGAAGCAGAACTAAAGGAGAACGCGCTCGACTCATTGTGGCACGAATCTGAAGCCCTAGCAAGGCTGCTCCGGAACCCAAAACCAGGCAGCAAATCTTGGCGCCGGCTACTGCCCGTCTTCCAAGGCAACTGGTTCCGCATCCGCGAGTTCTTCGTGGAGACCGATGCGCTCTTCATCGACCTCCTCGCCAGCATCGAGGACATCAGCGAAAGACAGCAGATGAAGGCGCGGGCCGTCATCATCGGTGCCAACGCCACGTCGCTGCTTAATGTTATATCCGACGCCGAGCTCCGCAAGGAGGATAACTTTGACAGAGTCTGGAAGATCTTCGAGCGCCTCGACGAGGACTTTCCCGCACCGCTGTGCCCGTACGATGACTACGCCGACCACGTTACCGAAGACGATATCGAGCTCGCGCTCGACATCCGCACGCAGCGGCTGATTACGACCCTGAAGGCCTTGCCAGACGACCAGCAGAATCCTGCCGACATTGCGGCGGAACTTTTTTGCATGCCATTGGAGGCCTCTGTCGATGCGGAAGAGGCTCTCCAGTATGGACCTTTCAGGGGTATCAACGGCCGCATGGCGGAGCGTTTCGCAGAGAGGGCAAAACACATTTACGATGCTATCGCGGACAAGAACGTGGACGATGCCATTCAGGTCCTCGACGAGATGTTCCCGCTCGAGGGGTCGCCTGATCAGTCGCAGAGCGAAGCCGACGAGCCGACCGACTTCATCAGCAAGATTTCCGCCTGGTGCAGCAAGATGATCGACGAGCTCAGTGCCATCTTGAAGGACCCGCCACAAGGGCCGAGGGAATCTTCTCCGACGGACTCCCTCCCCTCGAGCGCGCCACAGGATATAGTCCGCAACGACGTGTATGGCCTCCTCCAGACCCCTGAAGGCTGTCTACACGCAACTCATATACTGACTCGACTACAGACGCGAAGACATTTTGTCCCGATCAAACGTGCAACTCCTAGCAAAGCTCTCTCGCGAGAACCCCTCGCGCACACGCCCATCTCCATCCCTGGCAAACTCCCAGCGCGGGTCTCAGCGCGGAGCTACCGACGAGCCCATCATCAACGGAGGCATCGGCGACGACTACTACGACGAAGAAGCAGAGGACCGTCGCCGCAACCCCTCTCCTGCGCCGAGCGACCTCTCAGCCATCATCGCGGGCCTCCCCAGTACCGCAATCATCCGCAGCACGCAACCTCCTTCTTCCTCCGCCAAAGCCGGGCCTCCGCGCTCATCCGACTTCACCGCCGTCAACAGCAACAGCAGGAAACGCCCCCGCGAAGCCTCCCTCTCTTACTCTCAACAATCCCAAGAGTCCGACGACCCCTTCGAGGAAGACAACCGCGATCCAAACCCCCAACGAAGAGCCCAACTCGCCCGCGACCGCCGCGACATGCCCCCTCCCCCCTCGAAACGCAAAACCCTCCCCTCTACCGCGCCACCACCACCACGACAGCCCTCTTCATCCGCCTCATCATCATCAACAACAACGACCGCCCTCCAACGACGCCCCCGCTCCTCCCTGCCAACCGGCGCCCCAGCTTCCTCCGCCGCCTCCGCCCCGCCTACCTCCTCCCGAAGCAGCGTCTCAAGCACAGCCACCACGGTCGCCTCCTTCCGCGAAATCAACGAGATGAACCGCCGTCCAGCATCCCGCGCTGGCCCGCAGCAGCGCGTCCCCTGGTCCAACAGGGACACCCACCGCCTCATCCGCCTCATCGAACACCACAACTGCCTCTGGGCGCTCATCGCGAAGCGCCAGGTCGCTGCTGCCGGCCGCGGCGGCGGCTACGGCGACTCCTTTGAGGAGAGGGAGGACTGCGTCTTTGATCACCCGCGAGACCAGCAAGCTATCCGTGACAAGGCGCGGAATCTCAAGGTTGATTTGTTAAAGTATGTTTATTTCGCCATTCTCTCGTCCCTTCATCATAGTCTCTCAAGCCAGTGACTAACCATGAGAACAAATACAGAGCCGACTTGAACCTCTACCCGGGCTTCGACGGCATCGCCCTCGGTAAAAAAGAACGCCTGGCCCTCATCAGCCGCGGCAAGAACCCGGACCGTAGGGAAGGCGACGTCGACGCGGCGGGCGAGCCCACGCATACCGAGTATGTGCCGCTAGAAAGTGACGACGAGGACGATGAGTTGTAAACGGGGGGGAAAGATCCGGCTGGCTGGGCTTGTCTGGGCGCAGCAGCTATTTGCTCACAGTTCCTCTTTGTTTCTCTCACCCTTACCTATCTATATATATATATTTCATCCGGAGTGCTTAACTTGTCCAAAAACCGACAATCGATGCTTGTGGGATGAGGGAAAAGGGGGGGGTTCAGCTGTTAGGTTATACGAGATCATCGTTGTTGATGAGGATTGGGGACATTCTTGGCTATTGATATTGTTGGCAGCACGTAATGTGCAAGCCTGAAGGCGTTTCATGGATGGACAGAGGATATTCGAATGCGGACTTTACTTTTTTTCGTCGGACGTGGGCTCACTAGGACGCCAGTTAACCATCTGTCCCTGCCCTCAGAAATCTCATGTGTGCAGTACCTACCCGGGAGGGGAGGGGAGGGGGGTGCTCTCGACAGAGGTCTATTCTACGGCTCCAAGTTTTGGGGGGGGGGGGGGTGTTTATGCTCCGAAAGGACCAGTCTGCTGATTAGGTCACCCTTCGTCTTGAGAGCGGCCCCTCCGTATGCAAAAGGACTTCTTTTTTTTACTCTTTGTACCTAATTTGAGAGTAATATTGGATATCCTTGGGTCCTTAAGATCTCTACTAGAATAATCCCTCTATTTAAAGAAAGGCTTCTATACTGATATAGTAAATAAAAATATAAGAAGAAGAGGTCGGTCTTACTTACCATCAAGTCAATATTTACCTCTTTTCATGTTCATAGAGCAGTGTCTATCCTGGGGCCCACGCCCCGATTAACTAATATTTAGCCAGCAGAAGGAACAGCTTCTACTCTGGCCAACACTCCCCTCCCCCATAGGTATCCAAGGTGTCAGTACATCCGTCTCCGGCCCTGTCCCAAGTTTCACTTTACTACAGGCGGATATGAGGGAAATAGGGTCAGATAGATATACAATTCGCTGTTACCTTTTGGGAAATTAAGTAGTATCCATGAGGCACCAAGTCAATCAGTCTTGT